TCCAAGTTGGACCTAAGTATGGTTATTTTCCTAACCCATCTAAAAGAATTCTAGTAGTGAAGGACCCTCAGATGATCGACCAGGCCAAGGCATTGTTTGGAGAGTTCAATATGCAAATAACATCAGGCACAAGGCATCTTGGTGCAGTACTTGGCAATACAGGTGTCAAAGATCAGTACATTGCCGATAAGGTCCAAGGGTGGTGCGAAGACATCAAGATGCTAGCTGATATTGCAGAATCTGAGCCTCAAGCAGCCTATTCAGCCTACATCTCTGGCATACAACACCGATGGAAGTTTGTTCAAAGGACTGTTCCTCATATCTCTGAAGCCATGGAGCCGCTAGAACATGAAATAAGACAAAAGCTTCTGCCAAAGATGCTGGGCAGGGAGATTTCAGACTTTGAGAGGGACGTGTTAAGTCTACCAATAAGATTGGGAGGATTGGGCATTGGTAAACCCCACGAGGAATGCCAGTCTGAGTACACAGCTTCCAAGCTACTCACCACCGAGCTTACAAAGGCAATAGTGGACCAACAGGAAGTTTACTCTGCATCCAGTAACCTCACCAAATCAGGGAAAGAAATGATAAAAAATTTGAAGAATTCCGAGCTCCAAGCCAAGTTTAACGCTATAGCTGAAAGATGTGGCACCTCCTCTAAGAGAGCACTACTAACAGCAAGAGAAAAGGGAGCGTCCAGTTGGCTTAACACATTTCCACTTCAGCAGTATGGCTACACTCTGAACAAAGAGGAGTTTCGAGACGGTGTCTGCTTACGCTACAGTTGGTGGATACCAAACACTCCCATCACCTGTGGATGTGGGAAAACAAGTGATCTTGACCACCTTCTCACCTGTAAGCTAGGGGGCTACATGATAATGACCCACAACAACATCAGAGACACAATGGCAAATCTACTTCGTGAGGTATGTCATGATGTAAAAGTTGAACCCCAGCTACAGAAGGTGAATGAGGGTGACTGCCTCAACCCCAAGACTATAACAGGTGACCAAGCTCGGCTTGATGTATCTGCTAGAGGAGTTTGGACTCCATTTGATAAGACCTTTCTTGACATAAGGGTTTCACACCCCAATTGCTTATCAAACAGGACAAAAACTCTTCAAGAAGCATACGAAGAGAACGAGAAAGAGAAGAAGGACGAGTACTTGGAGAGAGTGTTGAATGTGGAGAAGGCTACCTTCACCCCGGCTGTATTCCTCACATTTGGAGGAATGTCTAAAGAGTGTAAGCAGTTCGTCAACAGAGTAGCAGACCTCGTTGCAAGAAAAAGGAAGGAAAGGTACTGCGATGTAGTAAGACACGTGAGAACTAGGATAAGATTTGCAATGTTGAGAACAACTCTTATTGCTCTACGAGGGTACCGAGGAAAGAAGGTGGACACCAAACGTGAGATTCAGCTATCAGAAGTTTCATACAACCTCATCCCTGCCCCTGTAATGGAGTAGATCATGTGTTTTGTTAAAATGTTTTTGAAAAAATTATTAGTAGCAATGAATTGTGCTCTGCCAATTGCAACACTTAAAATTTGATTGTGCTCTGCCAATTGCATCACTTGATTTAATTGAATGTATATATATACTGTTTGACATATTTTTCAAATATAATGGTTGTAAAATATAAAAAAATAACAATGCGCACGGGCACATATGTATGTATGCTCACTCGCTCGCACGCACGGTCGCAAAGCTACCATATCCAAAAAAACCTCGTTCGCTAACCCTTCTCCTTGACTCTTTTGTGCCTTACGTTGTTGTAATTACGTTAATTAATTTAAGGCAAGAAAATGGACAAAAAATACGAGATTTACAACCTCATCCCTGCCTCTATGTTGATAGAGTAGATGTGTATATATTTGGTTGTTGATATTTCAAATAATATTGGTAGCAGTGAAAAATTTTCGTTACCTGTGTATTGTGCTCTGCCAATTGCATCACTAACTTGAATGATGAAGTTCCAATTGTACTCACAATTTTTAATTGAATGTATTTTAAAATTTAGCCTCAAAAAAATTACGTTGTGTTTGAAGTGTTTTACATTTAATAACTCGACAGTTAGTATCGGCAGTATCTTCGGTTCACAGTTTGCGGTTGGGATGGATATGGGATAGATATTACATTTTTAATTTCAGTATTTGCTTCAACTAAGACATTTTTGCTTCAACTAAGACATTTTTTATATGGTCGGCAAAATATTGATTACGTGACCGATAGAAGTTTCCCCCATATCTCGCCAGCTCTAAAGTTGACGGATGATACTCGCTTAAATTTTTTAAAAGTAGTGCACACCACTTTCTTCTTGAGGCAAGTGCTGCAAAGTACTAGCGCGCGCCGGGAAATATATACGTACACCAAAACCTTTTTTGCGCTGGACAGTCGATTTGATTTAATTTTATGTGCATAAAAGTATAAATTAAAATAATATTATTTAACATAATTTTAAAATTTTTCCTTTTAAAAATATTCGCTTATTCTAATTATTTCTTTTTGCACTTTTTTTTTCGATGTGGTAAGATTTGTCACTATTATAACTATAGCTATTTTTTTAAATCAGCCAAAATGCAAAAACCATGAATAATGAAAAATGACAGCGCGCTTGTAGTTTTTCCATTACTTATGGACTAGCCCGGCGCGCGCTATTTCGTAGCACGTGCAGCTCTAATAGAAGAAAGCGGCGCGCGCTACAACGAAGAAATTTAGACAAATAACATCCGCCATAACTTGTAGTTTAAATTTTTATAAACACTCAAGGCTTGAAATAAGTTGTATCGCGTGGTGACCCCCATTGTCGCTTCACTATGTAGAGTTTCGACAATACAGGGGGAGCCGCGCACTCGTGCGCGGCGGGACATACAACGTATGACAAGAAATAAGTTTTAAAAATTGCTATTGTCAATTGTATCCGCTGGGCTCACAACAGTCTTGTACATAGTAAAGCAAAGTATTATTATTTATATTATAAACATTTAGTTAATTCAGCTGGCTTGGTGAACACTGAACACTCGTCAACGTAAATTACATTGGGCAATGCGCTTAAATTCTGTCATTCCACCATATTGCATCATGCATATTATATTTTTTATTTTCAATTATTGGTGTTTATGAACTTGGAATCCTCAGGTGAAACGTAAAATAAAAGTATTTAATGCATTGAGCAGAAAATGCCCGTACATAGCAATAGTAAGACCTTTAATTTATTTTTGACAAATATTTTACGAGTATTATATCATTGATAATTCGTTAATCGACTTGCGAATTGATTGCGCGGCTCAAATTGTAGATTAGTACAATCGAGCGCTATCTGAACAAACCTTTTTGTTACGTTTGGCTTTCCAAATTTGCACGCAACCTCTTCGTACCCCTTTTTCGTTATTATATACGACTTTTTAATATTTGCCACAAGTTGTTGTAAGATATTTTTTGTTCATAATGAGTCATGTTGATGAATTGTTGTGGTCAGCCAGTCGGCTTTATAATTGATCCAGCAGAACAATCTTACTTCTGAATAAAATTCCGCATTCTTGATTCTTTGTTTAACGAAGCAACACAACATTACTTCTTAATTAGCGATTGGTATCTGAAAACACAATCCATTGATGGACACATCTTTATGAAACTTTTGTCTCCTTGCCGCTGATTCTTTGGTCATAGACTAGTAACCTGATGCCATAACCAGGATTCAACCAGGACATGACCAGGACACAACCTGGACATCACCATGTCATAACCAGGACAGTCAGGCGTCATATCCTGGTCATATCCAGGTCATAACCACGTCACAACTGAAAAAGGTAGTCACGAACCGGCTATTAAAAGCGGTCACTAGAAGGTAAGTAGCCGGTCACTAGCCGGCTACTAGTTTCTTTATCGAATTAAGAGTGGCTACTTGGCGGTCAATAGCTTTTGATTAGCCGACTCGATTAGTGACTACTTTTTAGTTATGACCTGGTTATCATGCCTGGTTATCAAACTTCTGGCCCATGGGACTGCACATTGAAAACCCTGCTTCTCCGCTTGATTTTAATTAGAAAAATATGTTTATTTTTAAAAATTACGATTGTAATTAAAAAACTTTTGGAAATATTGGATATGCAATAATCTCAAGTCTCAACCACATTTCTAGCCATATAAGATGAACTCCCTCTCAATTTCAAATATGTCACTTACTAAATCGTTCATCAATTAATACCTTACGAGACATTTTTGTGGCGGACCAATGTGCGACGACCGAAATTTTGGCGGTCCGAAAATATGGCGAAATTGAACAAAAACCGTCACATTTCGGACGTCACAGAAAATAAGGGTATTTTTCATCATTTTGTTTTCTGACACAAAGGAAATTCAAAATTTTCTAAAAATCGGTAAAATCATGTTGAAACAAAATGAAACTTATAAATCGATTTCTTCATCTTCCTCTAAGGGGTCCGGCTCGAATCTTTCAGTTTCACTTATTGAGTTTGGTATTAAATTGTTTATCTTGACTTAGTCTATAAGACGTTTATGTTAGCACATAAATGTAATTTATTGTAAATTTAAAACGTATAACTTGACATTAAATTCATCATGGAATATTGTGTTTATTTGTCCCACCATCATATCACTAACTTTTCAAGAACAAAATGAATCGATGAAGCCACAATTATTGGAATAAGCTAAAAATAATGCGACGGATTCTATTACGACGACCGAAATTTTGGCGGTCCGAAAATATGGCGAAATTTAGGGAAAACCGTCGCATTTCGTACGTTATAAAAATGTCTTGTAAGGTAGTTTACAGTAAATGCCTGAGTAATTTTTGGTAGATTAGATAAAATATATATACGATTGACTTTATATGATCAAAACATGTGACCATAAAATCTCTCTCTCAAGGAGATCAGTATCAGAAGTTAAAGTTCATCCTTAGCTCTCTTCAAAATGCTATTTAAAACTGGACCTCTGTGTATGCGAATGTTCTCAGCCAATGCTGCTGTGAATAAAAAAATGCTTCAAAAGCTCAGATCTGAGACTGGACTGCCATTTATAAAGATAAAAGAAGCTCTCCAGGAGACAGACAATAATCCTGATAAGGCACTGAAGTGGTTGGAAGAAAAATCGATTGAGCAAAATTGGGCTAAAGCTCAAAAACTAAGCCAACGGGCAACATCTCAAGGATTGGTGGGAGTATTGAAAAAGAAAGATTTTGTCAGCATGGTTACTCTCCAGTGTGAAACTGAGTCAGTAGCCAAGAATGAGCATTTCATCTCATTGCTACACCATTCAGCTCTTGCTTTACAGCAAAGACAAGAAAACGGTGTGATCAAAGCTCAAGCTGTACTTGATTTGACTGTGGACAACCAATCGCTTTCAGACTTACTTACCGCTACTATTGGCCGATTAGGAGAAAATATCAAGGCTAAAGATTGTTACGTTTATAGACTTGAATCTCCAAATGTTTCGACTTCATCCTATCTTCATAGGAGAACAACTTCTGAAATCAATGGAATGTCGTTAGGAACTATTGGTTCATTGGCTGTTTTTGAAAACTTGAACAATGAAGCTGTTGGGACAGCAATTGCCCAGCATATAGTTGGAACCGAAAATTGTGATAATATGCTTGAGCAGCCGTTATTGCAAGATGAATCAGTTACTGTAGGCCAACTGTGCGAGGAACATAATTTCAGAATTCTTGATCATTATAGGATGTCTATTCAGTGATGGATTTAGTGGTTTATATGAATATAAAATTTCGTTGTGTATGAAGAGAAACAAATTGTCTTGTTTGACTGAAAATGATAACTTCTGCTATTTCATGGTTGTGTGACTTGAATCGTGTTCTAGCAATTATTTCAAAATCAATTTATGTCACTGTGTTTTATATATTGAACAATTTGATTGTTATCAATAGATTAAAATTAGTATTTTGTGATTTCAGAATTCAGTTATAGGATTAAATGATTCGTTTACTTTGTTTATAAAGTCTCTTAATCTAGTTCCCTCAGAGGAGGATGGCCTACAACCAGCATATGTTGTTGAATGCTGGTAGCACGCTGTCCAGAGCAGGAACCACAGCAAGACAGAGTCTCAGTAATTTCTTTGGTATAAACAAAGAGAGTAGGGATATCTGGTCTGAGAAGTTTCAACAGAGAATAAATGTGAGTACTTGATTTCGAATTACTATATATGTATTTTCACTTTTCGTTAACTGGTTTAGTTTATGCAAAATAAGAGAAATCATGTATTTTGTTTGATTGATGTCAAAAGGTTATTATGGGGTGGTCAAAAGTGGACTTATTTACAAATTGTTGATAATTCAATTAATAGACTAGTAAGTGGGCTGGTCAATTATGACCTTATTACTATTAGCTTGTAGAATGTAGATGTAGCTGGATTAATGGTAAATGGTTTGACCCAGAAATCAAATTATATTCCTTAAAAAGCGCAAGTATAGGTTCCCAACAACCTTCTATAATCTATATAATATTTACTGAAACAATGGTCTATAGACGATTAGACGATTATAGATACTAAAACTACTGATTTTAGGTAATGCTAGTTAAAATCCTTACTCTTATTGTAAATATAATTATTTGCCTCGTTTTAAATATAATAGTGTTCATTATACTTATATATATACTATATGGACACGTTCATTTGAGTTTGAGGATATTGGTAAATATAAGTGACCCTATTAAAAGGCACAGTGTAGTTGACTATGTCACACTATGAAATTACACAAATCCTTGATGGTTAGGATAATCGTCTCATCCTCTAGGCTAACTTTGTCACATAACGATATCTTAATCAGGTGATAAGATATCGCTTAAATACGGCCGGCACGCAAATGGTTACATTGTCACACTATAAACATGTGACAGAGTAAATATGGACCCCTTGCTGCCGTTTTTGACCAAAATTTTGAGTGTCCAGTTGATTGGATGGGTACATATGACCATTACCTACATATTTGAAGACTTTTTTCGTTAGATGGTGCACTCAGGTTTACTCTGTCACACATTTAAGAAAATATATGAACAATGTTTAGGGAACCCTGATAAGCAATGCTGAGTAGTGTAGGTTTAGTTAATGGCCTGGAAGTGCTAGGAATTGTTATTATATCATATAGTCGCAAGGAATTAAAACACAGAAGGCACAGACAAGTTTACTTTGTCACATAATCTTGATGATATCTGAACATGTGTGAAATTGAACAAATAATGATATACCAGCTTAAACCCTTTGTATTACGTACTATGGATCAAACAACACTGCTAGTACCATGCACCAGTCACATAAATCATTATCAGGTGGTAATATGTTAACAGTGTCACATTTAAACTACCGCAACATGGTCAAAAATAGGGTAATTTTGTCACAAAAAAATTATTATAACTCTGTCAGCTCCTTGCTGGCAAAATAACTAGTTTATCGAAATTTTTTTGATGATAAAATTACATAGTATTCTAATAGAGGTATAGTTCTTCAAAATAGGGGCAAGACATGTTTACTTTGTCACATCAGTTATTATAAGAGTTACGTAATCGTCGTCAGATTAACTGATCTTTTTCGTAGTATGGATCGATTAATATAGGCAATAAAACATCCTAATTTTAACACACTATCTTGATATTGTTGGGGCAGGAAAAGTTAATTTTGTCACATTTTTAGTGACTTTGACAAATTTAACCTGAAATTGTTAAACTTGAGCTCTGATGTTCTGGACAATATTCTACCAATCGTTTCTGAAAGAATGTTCAATTCTTATACAGTTATAGATCTTCAAAATAGGGACAAGACATGTTTACTTTGTCACATCAGTTATTATTAGAGTTAGGTAATCGTCATCAGATTAACCGATCTTTTTCGTAGTATGGATCGATTAATATAGGCAATAAAACATCCTAATTTTAACACACTATCTTGATATTGTTGGGGCAGGAAAAGTTAATTTTGTCACATTTTTAGTGACTTTGACAAATTTAACCTAAAATTGCTAAACTTGAGCTCTGATGTTCTGGACAATATTCTACCAATCGTTTCTGAAAGAGTATTGAATTCTAATAGAGTTATAGATCTTCAAAATAGGGACAAGACATGTTTACTTTGTCACATCAGTTATTATTACAGTTAGGTAATCGTCATCACATTTACATATATTTTTTTGTAGTTTGGATTGATTTATTTAGGTACTAAAGCAGCCTATGCTAATTTTTACACACTATCTTGAAATTGTTGGGGCAGGAAAAGTTAATTTTGTCACATTTTTAGTGACTTTGACAAATTTAACCTAAAATTACTAAACTTGAGCTCTGATGTTCTGGACAATATTCTACCAATCGTTTCTGAAAGAGTATTGAATTCTAATAGAGTTATAGATCTTCAAAATAGGGGCAAGACATGTTTACTTTGTCACATCAGTTATTATTACAGTTAGGTAATCGTCATCACATTAACATATATTTTTTTGTAGTTTGGATTGATTTATTTAGGTAATAAAGCAGCCTATACTAATTTTTACACACTATCTTGAAATTGTTGGGGCAGGAAAAGTTAATTTTGTCACATTTTTAGTGACTTTGACAAATTTAACCTAAAATTGTTAAACTTGAGCTCTGATGTTCTAGACAATATTCTACCAATCGTTTCTGAAAGAATGCTGAATTCCAATAGAGTTATAGATCTTCAAAATAGGGGCAAGACATGTTTACTTTGTCACATCAGTTATTATTACAGTTAGGTAATCGTCATCACATTAACATATATTTTTTTGTAGTTTGGATTGATTTATTTAGGTAATAAAGCAGCCTATACTAATTTTTACACACTATCTTGAAATTGTTGGGGCAGGAAAAGTTAATTTTGTCACATTTTTAGTGACTTTGACAAATTTAACCTAAAATTGTTAAACTTGAGCTCTGATGTTCTAGACAATATTCTACCAATCGTTTCTGAAAGAATGCTGAATTCCAATAGAGTTATAGATCTTCAAAATAGGGGCAAGACATGTTTACTTTGTCACATCAGTTATTATTACAGTTAGGTAATCGTCATCACATTAACATATATTTTTTTGTAGTTTGGATTGATTTATTTAGGTAATAAAGCAGCCTATGCTAATTTTTACACACTATCTTGAAATTGTTGGGGCAGGAAAAGTTAATTTTGTCACATTTTTAGTGACTTTGACAAATTTTACCTAAAATTGTTAAACTTGAGCTCTGATGTTCTGGACAATATTCTACCAATTTTTTCCTTTTCACCCTTTTGAAAAAAGGCAATAGTGAAAGGTTACGAATGGACGTTTTTGCAGAAAAACGTGGATTTTGGAAATAGCGGTAGGTGGGTCAAATATATGTCGTGTTCCTTACTTGCTTCCGTTCGTTTCCATGTCAACTTGCCGCGCGCACGCGCACGGGGATTGCTTGCGGAGATGTGGTGTATAGCTAGTCTGTGGTCAATGAATGCGCGGCACTAGCGTATTTTAATGTATACTAGTAATGTATAGTATTTTGTAATAAGCCCAACTTGAATGTGGCACGCGTAGTCTACTGATGTTTCAATATTATTATTATAAGGTGAGCTGATTAGAGCTTATATTAATAGGTATAGTGAAATGGAAATCTAGCGTCCGCCAAAACGAAACAACGGGCGCAATTCTTGTTTCTGAAAGAATGTTGAATTCTAAAAGAGTTATAGAATATATAGATCTTCAAAATAGGGGCACGACATGTTTACTTTGTCACATCAGTTATTATAAGAGTTATTATAAGAGTTATTATAAGAGACTATTTCATTATATAATCATTGTTTTTAACCTATTTACGATTTCGTATAATTTTTTGTGACAATGTAAACATCAACTGATCTTAACTTGCATCAACTACATTGTCATCATGTAAAGTTTTTCCGCCTTTCAAACCAAAATCAGATATAAATAATTCGCCCAAAATTTTAAATTCCATATATTGTGACAGAATTAACCTCATTTCCCAATAACCAAGTGCCTGTAATAGCTAACTATTCAAAGCAACATATTTTAGGGCTATGATTGGTACTCCGTACTTAGTAGATCAACCATCAAATAATGAGTAAAAAGGGTTTTGAGGACACCTCACAGTAGAATAGAGGTATGGTATTCTGAGTGTGACAAAGTTACCTAAATATTGCCTTGTAACCGTTCGATCCGTGCCCTTTAACCAATGTTGTATCATAATTGTTAGATTGACCTAATCTACTATGTTTCAGACCAAGGAATGATAATTAGACAACTGCAGTTAATTAAGTCACAAAAATGTGACATTTGAAACATTATAGTGCCTAACAACAATAGATTTTCTTTCTGAGCAGTGCATATAGGAGTATGGGTTACGTGGCTAATGTTCAGAACTTCTGAACGTGCTAGGTTAATAGATGTCAAAATTAAGCCACTATCGTCAAAAACGCTATTATTTTTGTTTACCAATATCCTCAAACTCAAATGAACGTGTCCATATAGTATACATGCTCCTTTCTGTCAGTCAGTTACGGTAATATAACACCTTTTAAGTAATATACAAGTATTTATACAATGTTACATCAGCAATATTACCGATTTATTAAAGCTTCACTGTTGTCATGTAATGGTCGTTGTTATGTTAAAAGGTTTATAATAAGAATTCCCTCTGTTAAAATATCTTTTCGTTGTGCAATATCGCATGACAGAGTCCTCGATGATTCTAACTCTTCAGTACAGCTGCTATTGCATTCTTTTAAGTTTTTATGACTTATGTCATCGCATAATCAATAAAATAGAAACAATAAATTATATAAAAGGTGTAGGTTCTTTTTAGGTTCTCTTCATTGAAAATCATTTAAATTATGGATCAAAATTACACACCATGATCACATACAGACATACCTAAATAAATGCTGCTCATTTTGCATAATTTGAACAGATGAAAAGGTTCCTGTACAGTATACAAGCTGTATTGCGTATAATAGAAATGCAAAACTCACACCGAAACAAACTTTAAATCCACCTGGACAGGATTGTTAAACACTTATATATAACTGCTAACATCGCAACTCTTTTCAGCAACAAAAAGTTGGTCTGACGTTGCGGGATGAAAAAGAGGCATTCACAACTCTATCGAGACGGTTATCCTTGAAAAGAAACGCTAGAGTCAGCCTCAGACACCCCCGTAAGACATTTTATAAACCGTTTTATTGTTATATCGCTTTCATATATCATTCTATCAGTAGATTCTGGGTAAGCGGACCGAATCCCTAACCGGTAATAACTACCTGTAGGGTTATGGTTTGGGTAATGGGTTAGGGATATGGTTAACAAAGCCTAATATAGCATTGCGAGATAAAATTGAACCTTGAGATTAAGTAATTTTTCATGTGTATTCGTATCGTGGCCATTGCTAAAATCAGAGTTCGATTAACCGGTGTCTATTAATGAGAAATATGGAGCGTTGAATAATAATCTATCACACATCCGTAATACAGAACAACCACCAAAAACTAGCTTTAAAACGAAAAGGTTTACATTTTCTGATTTCTTCAAATCAATTATTCATCTTACAGCAGCGTGCAAACCATAAAATACCTGCTATGTTGTAATTAAACAATTAACACCACGTTTATTCACCCTCTCTCCCCCTCATTCACCTGGACAAATTGTAGTATTCGTTGTGTGACCCTGCTAAACATTACAAACAAGATACTAATACTACCTGCTAAACATTAACGACACACTATTTATCTCATGTGTAGAGTTCTTATGAAGCTTTACAAATTACCTTCGTATCTTACCGGGCTATTACACATATTATCTATTGTGAGAATAGTAAGTAAAAGTAACTCTGTGTAAGTAACAGTTACTATGTGTAAGTAACTCTGTGTAAGTAACAGTAACTCTGTGTAAGTAACAGTAACTCTGTGTAAGTAACAGTAACTCTGTGTAAGTAACAGTAACTCTGTGTAAGTAACAGTAACTCTGTGTAAGTAACAGTAACTCTGTGTAAGTAACAGTAACTCTGTGTAAGTAACAGTAACTCTGTGTAAGTAACAGTAACTCTGTGAAGTAACAGTAACTCTGTGTAAGTAACAGTAACTTTGTGTAAGTAACAGTAACTCTGTGTAAGTAACAGTAACTCTTTGTAAGTAACAGTAACTCTGTGTAAGTAACAGTAACTTTGTGTAAGTAACAGTTACTCTGTGTAAGTAACAGTAACTCTGTGTAAGTAACAGTAACTCTGTGTAAGTAACAGTAACTCTGTGTAAGTAACAGTAACTCTGTGTAAGTAACAGTTACTCTGTGTAAGTAACTCTGTGTAAGTAACAGTAACTCTGTGTAAGTAACAGTAACTCTGTGTAAGTAACAGTAACTCTGTGTAAGTAACAGTAACTCTGTGTAAGTAACAGTAACTCTGTGTAAGTAACAGTAACTCTGTGTAAGTAACAGTTACTCTGTGTGTAACTCTGTGTAAGTAACAGTAACTCTTTGTAAGTAACAGTAACTCTGTGTAAGTAACAGTAACTCTGTGTAAGTAACAGTAACTCTGTGTAAGTAACGCTATTTTATCTCTGAGTCTGCGTCTTCATTTGTAAGACTTCATTTTGAACGCACTTGAGGTGTGATTATATCACCCAATTAATCTGAAGTACCCTCTAAACAACAGTAATTAGCCACTTATACGAGATTTAGTATAATATATTCAGTGCTGATTGCTGTGACGCTGCTCTTAACTGGGAGATGATTACAACAATTCAGTTCCTACGTGCGACGTCTTGTGATATAGGATGTGTTAAAATAACGTTAGCTCACCTATCAGGTTACTAGAAATGTACTGATATCAGTGTTTAAATGTAGATATAATTTGAAATTTATAATCTGTATTCTGACTTCTGAGCATATATTAATCATGTCATAATGGAAATAAGACCGGATCAACATACTGTCTGATGAATGTAATAGATAAGCGAAGCCGCCGCTTCAGTTGTCTACTGTAAGTTAGATCCAGCAGAAAAGTATACTTTATCTTCACGTCAACAGGTGATGTCTGAATTAGCGTCATCTAGTCCTCTTATGTGGATTATTACCGTCTAGTAACATGGGCCGAGAAGTTTCAGACAGAATTTATCACATAAACGTAACGCGCGGAAACACTTTTTTATGTCGACGAGGAGCAAGCCCACATTCACTTCGCGCGCGGATCGACGCGCGCGCGTGTTTTCTTAATAAAATAATTGGTCAATTAGATGTGCTTTTTCCTCCTTAATTGCACCCCGGCCCCGAAGGGTGCAGGTGTATATCATTAGTCTATGAGAGTGCATTCAACGGGAAAGTTTAAGGTCTAAGCTACAATAATACTTCTCATGACGTAACATGTGCTTTCACACCTAGTTGTAAAGCCCCACCCAAGGTCATATTGTAACCACAAACTGAGATAGAAATTCAAAGCTTGTGTTTCCCCATCCTACCCTCACAGTAATAACACTGTGTTTCAGCTCGCAGTGCATCGCCCGACCACGGCCCTCACCGAGAAGCTATAGAGTTGGAGGATGACGTGTTCTTATCTCCAAACAAGAACGACAGGAAGATAGACAGCGCTCTCCTCATCACTAACAAGGAGGAGGCTCTGGAATGCTACCGACGAATGATAGAGGTAAATATTGAAATTTCTGTAAGTTAGATAATTTCCATTATTACTCAACTATGGCAATATATACTTACTGACATTACCTCACACGGATTGCTTAATAACCGTTACATATTTGCAGAGGAGTACCCAGAAAACACCCCTGACGTCAACAGACAGCAGTGAGTGGTTTGGTGTTAACACCTTGGTCCGTGTCGGAGCTCACGACCTCCGCTCTAATCTCCGCACCCCTGCTTCGCTGGCCCGCGAACAAAACATCAAGGTTCAACTTGAGTCCCTCCCCGAGTTCACCCCTTGGTTTATATACGTAGTTACTCTAGCTCAGATTATATTCATGTGTTTCATGCTGTGGTCTTATGGCGGTATCCACACAGTCGGGCTATCCCCCTACACTGTGGTGCAGGAGAACACGCCAACTGTCCGCTCTTCTCTCGACGAAGTGTCCAGAACTGTGACTCCCAACATCTGGCTTGGTCCAGATGAAAACTTCCTCATAAAATTCGGAGCTAAGTTTAGTCCGTGCATGCGTGAGGATCATCTTATTAACATTAAGTACACTAACATATACAGCAAACAAGACAGTGAGTTTGTCTGCTGCCAGTTTGACAGTATCAACAGGAACTGGGTCGGTTACACAACCATTTCAGCGTGTCGTGGCTACGGAGAAGCTCTCTCTCACACCAACTGTTCCGTCTACACGGACGATAACCCCATGTTCACCCACAAGTTCAGACCGTGTTGCACTAACGTGACTGGAGGCTGTATGATGACATCGCAGGAACATTGCTTGTTCTTAAAGGGCCGATGGCAGGAGTCTGCGGAGACTTGTAGCCAAGTCAACTGCTTATCTCAGATTTGTGGAATGAACGAGTTGAAGAGTAAGGGTAAGAACACTCCCTACATTGCTGAAGCTAACCAAGGGTACAGACTCGTCACCGCAATTTTTGTCCACGCAGGGGTGTTACATCTCATCCTAACGATTGTAGCCCAGCTTGTCCTGGGGAGTCAGATCGAGAGGACCGCTGGTTGGTTCAGAATAATGCTAATCTACCTTACTTCCGGTATTGGGGGTAATCTCATTTCCAGCGTGTTTGTTCCTTACGAAGCGACGTGCGGTGCTGGTGGTCCTGTGTATGGCCTGCTCGGTGTTGTTCTTGTAGAGTTTCTGCAGAGTTACCAGGTCGTCATAAAGCCTGGAATTGAGCTCATCAAACTATTGTCGGTCATCGTGCTATCGCTCTTCATCGGGACTCTGCCGTATCTTGACAATTTCGCTAATATCGGTGGGATGATATTTGGGGTCCTCTCTGCATACCTCTTTCTCCCCTACATTACATTTGGTAAATTTGATTACGGACGCAAAGTCCTTCAAATTATCGTGGCGTTTTTGTTAATTGTATTTTTATTCATCGTCGGATTTGTAGCGTTTTATATAGTCCAGGGCACGGATTGGTGTAAAAACTGCTATTATTTAAACTGCATTCCATATTCGAGTAACATGTGCCATAAGCATTTAATAAATTTATAGTTATACCATTGGCATGTATTTGTTTTTAAATGAGAATCGATAAACGGATATTAAGTTTCTAAATATTGTTTTTGTAACGCGCTAAGGTAAATTATTTGTTTTTGTATAACCAACATGTAATAATTATGATCAGGTTGCGATCAAAAATTTCTGCAATTTGATAACACCTCTTGTTTGTTAACTATTTTCTAGTTATTTCTGTAATCAGAAATGAGTGATTCCCATTAACGTGTTAATCTTTTCAATACATTTTCTTATACCATCCTGATATTTAAAGGTTATTTGATTCATTTATTTGTAGGAACTTTGCTCCGATAAGTTCCAATGTTTATACTCGTTACAACCATTTACTCAAATCGTATTTGAGAGCTTTAACTGTATACATTAATACTGGTAATTGCAGTATAATCGTTCTCTAATGAGGAGATGAAGCAGTTTATCGCTGCGCTATCCTAACTATTTTACTATTAAAGAGTACGTTGTTTGTTACGCTTGATTTTCATATAAGTTGTTTTCAGATGTATTACACGCGGTTGAGAAACATTATCTTCATTACTTTAAAAGATTGATTATCATTATCATCATCGAAATATTGGTTTGTGTTTGGGGTATAACGGGTAAGGTGTACGTGGAAAAGTGAGAATTTGGCTGGACCGCAAGTCCTCAGACTCAATTAGATCAATTACAGCATAACGTGGCACATAACTGCGTTACACTACCTCTCATAGCTAAGTAAATAAGTCCCGCTTTATGGAGGTAACATTAACCTTGTTAGCGGGAACTTTAAACCTATTACCCGATCTCTGGTTGCTGTATCCAGCTCTTTAGTGCGCTGCTGTCTGGTGTGGCTGTGTTGGTATATATATAGCGTGTAATGCTCCCCTAGTTATACAAATTAAACATTCCTGCAGTCTTCTGCGCTATAATTTCGCTAAATTATCTGATTTTGTATAAAATGGTGTTTTTTTTCTGTGTTATATCGTTGACTTGCGGTTCTTGGCAACTTTTCGCCATTTGGAGCAGATGTGTGTACATAAATAACATGGTTTTAAAGTTAAACTGCATTCATACCTAACCTATATTTATCTGATTTATTATATCACAATTTTGAAACTGTTGCTTTTGTAATTTTATATGATATGAGCTATTTTTATCACACCTTTGCCTTAATCATTCGTTTAGAAGCAGGAATATAATCACCAAAAAATTGGCCTTCTCCCACCAAGTACCCACACGGCTTGACTCTTTTAACTCACGTGTCAAGACTGTTGTTGGATACTACTCAAGCGCAGTGTGTAGACTTTATGTTATAGCGTGACTATCCTATTGTCTCCCTTTATATCCCATCTCGACTCTTTACACACAACCTATTGACTTAGTCTTACAGTGTGTAATTATATCGCTCCACCACCGGTGATGGCCTTTACTCTCAGTTCAATGTTGTTACGGGGTAATTTTCTTTCTTTGACAAGAGTTCCCCGCTCTGTTTCTTTGTCTCTAAACATTGATTCAACTCCATCTTCTTTATATTTCCGAATTTCTGTATATCGATTAAGTCTTATAATTTGGCGGGTCACAATTTGTGCATGAAAACCTCTAAGAATTAATATAAACGGAAAATGTCTGAAATTTCAAGACAAAACTCCTTATCTTGCTAACCTACCTTGCTAACCCTGACAGTATCTCTCTAGCAAAATGGGTTTACCAATCCGAAGAATGTTCGTTGTGTCGGTGTCCCTGTATTTCATCTACATGGGAGTCTGCACCGTGACACCCATCCTTAACTCTGGTCTGCACAGCGAACTTGTTAGTATTTGCTTTTAATTTGTTGATGACATTTGAAAACAACTATATAATCAGGCGCTACAGTCATGCTCGAATAACTGTAGTTCTTACTGTGGTAAATCGTTTGCGTCGAGATACATGACTTCGAATATTCCTATAGATATCTGAATTTCTTAATTTCCAGTCAAGCTCGTTCAGTGGTCACGCTAAAGTGTTTCCCGGCAGATTCGGAGTCCATCTCGACCCTGAACTTTACAGATTTATCTTCGGATTGATTGAGATCGTTGCCGGTAAGTTCAGTCTATTAAACTGTTAATATTTTATTTTTATGCATTTTTTGATCCATTCTCTTCTTTTGAGTTATATTTTCAAGAGGGTGGACAAGGCGATATTTCGGCTGTTGTAAATATACACCTCTTAGATTATATGGGGGGCCATTATATGTTTATATCCTGATGATGAAACCGACCATTCACAACAAATCTTCCGCATGGATCATCATAGGTTTCTTACTCCCTTTCTCCCCCATTGGTTAACATAACATTTCAGGTGCTCTGATTATAATCGGGGAGTCAGTTTGGGCCGTGTACTCCGTGTGGGCTCTTCTCACCATGCAAGCCTTCCTCTGCCTCTCCCTCTACTCCCAAGGAGAAAGTACTAAGTGTATCCCCAACCTTGTGGCCCTCAACCTGATCGGAGTCCTGGCTGGAGGTTCTCATGGCCAACACCACAAGATCGACTAAAGAGGGCGACTTTATGTTGGATTAGTTCTTCTCCCCTGATAATATTTACTTATGCGTCAAGAAGTCTCAATATTAACAACTGATTTAGATGTAGTTATCATTATCTACTAAAATTATTCCTGAATTTTATGGCCATTTCCAGTTGGTAGTTGATAATATTATTGTTTCATCCAATCTATCCATATGTATAATCAAAGTTACTTTATAACTGCGTATCAAGGAGGACGCTGTTTGATTAATCAATTTTCCAATAATCTTCCAAAAAACTAAGATATTCTAGAATAACTTACATGTATGTGTGTACTCAGATTTTGCTGTTTTTTAACTTTTCCTGTTTTAGAATGAGGTTTAAGAAGTTATTTTTAGATTCAGTATTTATTTCACATTTAATTGTGAATTTTATGGTGGTTGCATTACTATAATATTACTATGTGTGCATTATAGCATTTTGAATATTTTGCCTTTTAGTCGGATATATTATCATATTGACTATTATCAAATTTTATCAATTAAATTATGTCGTTTCAATTCGGCGTTTGAGAATAACGGTAATTGTAATGACTACTTTTGGGGACTTGGGGAATTACGTCAACGATTTTACCCCGAGTCCCCATGATTTTTAGTCCCCATTAGTCCCCAAAAGGGGGGGGGGGGGGGGGGGGGGGGGGGGGGGGGGGTGTAATGACTACTTTTGGGGACTTGGGGAATTACGTCAACGATTTTACCCCGAGTCCCCATGATTTTTAGTCCCCAAAAGGGGGGGGGGGGGGGGGGGGGGGGGTGTAATGACTACTTTTGGATCGTAAACTTCTCAAGACTGAAGTCTAGAATATTTATAAATGGTCACTGGACATTCCTGACTTCTTGGAGCTACTTGAGGGCTGTTAGAGTACCTCAGGTAAATCAAGGGAGGGGGCGGGGGCGACTACCTATGACAACATTGAGGAGACATATTGCATATATACGCGCATTTTTTGGAGTTGGGTTACATCTTGGTGACAGTAACTGTCACCAAGATGTAACCCAACTCCAAAAAATGCGCGCGACAATCAACTCCAAAAAATGCGCGGGGGGGGGGTCTACTGCCTCGTCACACAGTGCTGAAACGTATATTTACATATATAAGTAACATAAAAGCCGCGCAATTACGGAGTTGGGAATTGAGCCGCGGATTTTTTGGAGTTAATCGCGACCTGGTGAGGGTTAGCCCCTCAGATCGACATTATGCCTGCTGGTCTCACCAGTAGGCATTATATATTTAATTTTCAGCACCTGTCGGCTGATTTATACTCAGTAACTTTGCATTAGTGTTTCATATTCTTTTTTGTTTGAAAATGAAAAGGCTTTTATCACAGTTAAACTGAATAATTTAAAAATATCAGTTGGAGATAATGTCACTGGTATCATGTCGGAAGTTTGCTGCTTATCATCAATGACTATCACTGCACGGTGCTGTGTTACATCTGATTCTTTTTGCTTTTACACGCTGGACGACAAGACTTGTAAAAATGACATCGTTCTCTGGATTTGCCACACTATAGTAAAGAGTACGGTAGCCATATGATGGAACGTTCGTCCAGTATCCTTCAATCATGTAGCATCGTGCAAGGAGGAGTAACTGTAAGATTCTAATCGATCATCATTTCCCCCGATAATGTCCATGCTGATGGGTTAAAAGATGGGGGGGGGGGGGGGGGGGGGGGGGGGGGGGTCCAACTACAAAAAATACGAACGCACCCCTAAAATTTCAAATTCGTATTCGTATTTTTTCGTATTTTTTACAAATCGTCATTTTGATAAATAGAAGATCACACATCTTCGTAATTAATCAGATCTAAGCTCAACTTAGCAGTGAAGAAACATTAAAATAATATGTAAACCATCATGTATCATACATAAAACCTGGGGGTGTAACAACAAAAACGATGAACCCACACAAAATTTTGAAAGTCGCTCCCTTTTTATCGTTTTTAAAATTAAAATTTGGGATATATTGTGATCCATTTTATGTTTTATTCGAAATTGGTCCATTTAACTGGGGGGGGGGGGGGGGGGGGGGGGGTCCAACCCGATTTCCGATATGAGGGTTGATGAGGCCAAAATCGAAATCGGAAAAATCGGAAAATTGAGAAATTTACAGAATCGATCTCTAAAACCTCTCAGAAGTGATATAATTCAATCAGAACCCCTAAATAATACGTATGCAATTTAATAGTATATATTAGTATATTGTGATGAGAAAACGAACCAATAGGACATTCCATTAGTATGTTTTATGTGTTTTTCCTCCCCCTCCTCAGTCCTCGTCCTCAGTCCTCCTCATAGTCGTCCTCCTCGTCCGCGTCTTCCTTCTCAGTCCTCCTCGTCCTCCTCGTCTTTAGACCTCCTTCTCATCAGTCCTTCGCCAGTCCTCCTCCTTCTCCTCCTCCTGAGTCTTCTTTCTCCTGAGTCCTCCTCCTGAGTCCTCCTCCTCCTCCTGAGTCCTCCTCCTCATCCTCGTCTTCCCCAGTCCTCATCCTCCTCCTTCTCCTCTTCCTTCTCATCTTCATCAGTCCTCCTCCTCAGTCCCCTTCATAGTCGTCCTCGTTCTCCTTAGTCCTCCTCCTCCTCAGTCCTCCTATTGAGTCCTCCTGAGTCCTCCTCCACAGTCCTCTTCCTCCTCATCAGTCCTCCCCCAGTCCTCCTCCTCATCAGTCCTCCCCCAGTCCTCCTCCTCCTCAGTCCTCCTCCTCCTTCCTCAGTCATCCTCCTTCTCCTCAGTCCTCCCCAGTTCTCCTCCTCAGTCTCCTCCCCCTCTTCCTTCTCCTCCTCAGTCCTCCTCCTCCTCAGTCCTCCTCCTCCTCCTCCTACTCCTCAGTCATCCTCCTCCTCCTCAGTCCTCCCCCAGACCTTCTCCTTATCAGTCCTTCGCCAGTCCTCCTCCTTCTCCTTCTTATCAGTCGGCCTCCTCCTCGTCCTCGCTTTCGTCCTCAGTCCTCAGTCCTCATCGTCCTTAGTCCTCATCCTTTTACTCCTCCTCCTCCTCGTCAGTCGTCCTCAGTACTTCTCCTCAGTCATCCCCCCAGTTCTCCTCCCACTCCTCAGTCCTCGTCCTCAGTCCTCCTCATAGTCGTCCTCCTTGTCCTTGTCTTCCTTCTCAGTCCTCTTCGTCTTTAGACCTCCTCCTCATCAGTCCTTACCCAGTCCTCCTCCTTCTCCCCCTTCTCCTTTTTATCAGTCGTCCTCCTCCTCGTCCTCGCTCTCGTCCTCAGTCCTCCTCGTCCTTAGTCCTCGTCTTTTTACTCCTCCTCCTCCTCCTCAGTCCTCTTCAGTCCTTCTCCTCCTCAGTCATCCCCCCAGTTCTCCTCCCCTCCTCAGTCCTCGTCCTCAATCCTCCTCATAGTCGTCCTCCTCGTCCTCGTCTTCCTCCTGAGTCTTCTTTCTCCTGAGTCCTCCTCCTCCTCCTGAGTCCTCCTCCTCGTCCTCGTCTTCCCCAGTCCTCATCCTCCTCCTTCTCCTCTTCCTTCTCCTCTTCATCAGTCCTCCTCCTCAGTCCCCTTCATAGTCGTCCTCGTTCTCCATAGTCCTCCTCCTCCTCAGTCCTCCTATTGAGTCCTCCTGAGTCCTCCTCCACAGTCCTCTTCCTCCTCATCAGTCCTCCCCCAGTCCTCCTCCTCATCAGTCCTCCCCCAGTCCTCCTCCTCCTCAGTCCTCCTCCTCCTTCCTCAGTCATCCTCCTTCTCCTCAGTCCTCCCCAGTTCTCCTCCTCAGTCTCCTCCCCCTCTTCCTTCTCCTCCTCAGTCCTCCTCCTCCTCAGTCCTCCTCCTCCTCCTCCTACTCCTCAGTCCTCTCCCAGACCTTCTCCTTATCAGTCCTTCGCCAGTCCTCCTCCTTCTCCTTCTTATCAGTCGGCCTCCTCCTCGTCCTCGTTTTCGTCCTCAGTCCTCAGTCCTCATCCTTTTACTCCTCCTCCTCCTCCTCAGTCCTCTTCAGTCCTTCTCCTCCTCAGTCATCCCCCCAGTTCTCCTCCCCTCCTCAGTCCTCGTCCTCAATCCTCCTCATAGTCGTCCTCCTCGTCCTCGTCTTCCTTCTCAGTCTTCCTACTCCTCCTTCACCTCCTTCTCCTCTTCCTCCTCCTCCTCCCCTTTCTCCTCAGTCTTCCTCAGTCCTCCTCCTCTTCTTTTTCCTCCTCTCCAGTCCTCCTCCTCCACTTCAGGGGATCATGTTTGCGAAAAGCGGAAGGCTTAAGGTAAACACTTTATCACGGCTCCAACGTTCCAGGACCTTATAACTGGCCTTGAAGGGATGGTTTATTATCAAGTCCAATGTGCAACTAAGTACAAGGACTGTGATATTGCTTGCTGGCATTTTGTTTCCGACTCTTGCGAACAATTGTTTGCTTTCCTTCGCACTGGCTTCCACAAAGGATGCCAGAGCAAGGAAAAATCGGTGCCTTGAGCTTGATGCGAAAGGCAGCCGTCTTGTTGCGAATGATGTTGCACACACTCGGGGGAAGACACTGATTCCCAATCCCAACTAAACACTGGTGTACACTGTACAAGGGCAGAGACACCAGCCTCAAGAAACTTAGGAAAGCACTCAGGGAAGGCATCGACATGGGGAAGGATATGATTCGTGCTCACACAAAGCTGTCCGGGTGCGAACTCGATATACCTACTGAACCCGACTGTTACACTCTAGTTGATGATGTTACACTCTAGTTGATGATGAAGACAGGGAAGAGGCTGAGCTTGAGGCCCCCAATGATGATGATGATGAAATGGAGATTTATAACCAGTCAACTGGAGTTCTCACAACCGACGGCCGTTGGTACCATGTTGATACTGTTGCTGAGAAGTTTATGAACGACGGTCGGTCATCAATGGCAGGTCATACACACCAAAGGAGAATCAAAGGCTACAGTATCGCCAGGGTGTCACTTTCTCGGCCATGTGAATCGCTTGGAAAAGACTGTAAACGTGTATCTGTTGGTGACAAGGGCTGGTTCGACAAGAAAAAATTCAAGCAAGCTGTCAAGTTCCGCGGGCAGGCTCTGTTCATGTCAACATCGCATATATTCAGCAAGGCTGTCTGCCGTGTACTCACTAACTGACTAACTCCTTTTGTTCTACCCATCAGAATTATCATGTTTGGGTGAAGTCTGATGTAGATTGTAAGATTTACCTATCAAAAGAAGTTTTGAAGATCACTAAGAGAATTTGAAGTTTTTCTCTATTTTTAATCCTAAGGAATTTAAGCTGTTACTATAACCATGACTACTTTGTGTAATAAGTTTATCTAAAGAAAAATCTGATAGAATATCAATATGAAATATGAATGTGCCATATATAGTCTATATATTATAATATATAATGGGTTCAGCCGAAGCTGATTCAATTTCGTTTTAGGAACCCAATACAACTTACCAGACTTTAAAAGTATGCGTAATGCGTATTTGGTAATAATATTCTGTGATGTAGCATTCAAAGACCTTTATAAATCACAATTAATACATCATAATATCTGAATTGTGAT